AAGCACAAGATACTGCCTGTTCATACAGGGCGCATGCAATGTTGTCAGTCGGATGATGGACCTTTACCGATGTTTCGACTCATGTCTCACTGGGTTTCTTCGCTGTAAAGAAGTTTCTTTGCTTCAGAAGTTCGTCTTGTCGTTCGCAGCGGTTCGCAGGTTTGGAGTCAGAAGGCGAATAGCATCCGATTGACCAATTGTTTTCAGTTTGACCACCAACACACTCCAAATACTCAGTCTCCGTGTATTATTCTCGTTGGTATACTATATTAATTAATCAACTACTTTTCCCCGCCCATAGTGCTACTGCTGTTAGTAAATTTTTATTCAAGTCAACTAAAAGTGGTTTTATTTTGAAGCACGATAATGAATTGGAGCGTTCTGTTCTTGCTTTGTTAGTAGCACTAAAATGCAGAACAAAAACGGTTTATTATTACGCAGCGCGATAGAGTGGTAAATCAGGTGATATACTACTACCGCCCTGTTGGCTTCTCACAAATTAATTGTGGCAGTTAATTTAGTGCTGGAAGGTCGTATACTGGTGGATCATCTGATAGATCACTGCATTCTCTTGTGTGTAAATAAACCGTTTTTATGCTATGTTCCGTGATAATTAATTGTGGTAATTTTCAGTGAACAGTCATCAGAAAGAAAACTATTCTTTCAAAATGGAACAGTGATAAATTTAGATTGGAAAGGCGAGGTGATTCGAGGTTTTGCGGTTCAGAGAAATATGAACGACTTGGGAATAGTGTCTAACGGCGAAATACGCTGTTTGCACGGCATCAGAACTCTGAGCATGTGGTGGGCGATATGCGGAAGGACAGTGGTTCTTTCCATAAGCGCCGTTGGTATTAGTTGCTTACAAGCTTTTTATTTTCTTCTAACACTCGCTCCTTTAGACAACGGACTCGGCGCTCTGCATATGCTGGGCAGTTTTCAAGGGCAATTAGTCAACAGCTCTGCTCTCGCTGCAGATACGTTTTTAACGCTCAGCGGACTTTTGCTCAGTCTCTGGTTCTTCAAAAAACTGGATCCGAGAAAGTGGAAACTCAATAGTCTGCGCAATTGGTCGAATTTCTACTTTCGGCGTTTGTTGAGGTAACGTAATATTTTCTTTTGTCTGCTGATTTGCGTCCAACGCTGGATCATAGCGCTCGACTTGAGGTGCGTAGTATATGACTCGAGGATACCTTCTTAATCGGTGTCGTACTCACATGTTGATAATCATTCTGGAAAGGAACGCTATGCAAATTTATGACTGCACATTCATGGTAGTTCCACAGAAACTAGTCGATTTACCCTGTAGAAAATGACTGTTGTTAGTAGTAATGCAAAATTATGAACATTTATGGACGTGCTGCAGTACATTCTACCTATAATCCGCCGTATGTGCGAACTAACGTCGTTATTCTGGAAAAACTGATACAGATCGCCGCAGGTCATGTTTTCTAATGCACAACAAAGCACATGAGTCTGCGTCATTGCTGGTGAACATGAGCACAGACTGAAACAGCTTCAACACCGGCACCAGGGGACAGTGCAACAACTGATGATTAACAGGTTAAGATAACACAACCTCTTGAAAGCGGTGTTGGTAATCGTAAAAAGAGATTTCGACATTAACTTTAGATGAATCATTGTAATGTTCAGTAAACTTAACCTATAAAATATATTTATCTGATTTTTGAATCTCTCTGCAAACTCATTTACGCTTAGGTTAGCCAACGTAGTTTGGAAAATGTCGGTAATTATTATAAATACTACCATCTGTTTGTTTCCTTAAGCATAGAACCATTCAAGTGGTAATTTATAAAATATATTCACGTTCAAACTGAACCGATCATGAATGGTATATTCTAAACAAGACTCACAGGAATGTTATTACCAGTATATTAATCCTAGCCAGCCACGTGACCATGGTCATAAAGAAGAGACCAAGCAATGCATTGTCTGAATTTCCGCCCCGGAAGTTTGATGTGAAATATAGCAGGTTTCCAGAAGACAACCCTTAAGACTATAACCTGAATTGGAAGTCTACGTATTTCTGTGCGATACGGTAAATCTCTCCTTCTCAGTTCATACTGACATGGTAGGTGCTTGATTGAAGAACACTGGTGCGAACGCTCAAAACCACCATCAAATTTTTATCTGCAAGGAAATCAGAATGCTGCTGTTACGCGTGTGCTTGTCGTGCCGATTGTGAACTAAGAATCTAACAGCTCATGATACAAGAAATGAGTAATAAAAATGAATGCAGACTTGGGAATGCAATGCTATCAGGTATCTCTCAGCTGAAAAGAAAATAAGTTCAAGTCATTTAATGGTCTAAGAGGTCAGCATGGCAGGAATGTTGCATAGGTAAGACGACAGTACACAAAAAGATTGCATGTTTTCTGTTATATTGCTCCGTTCCATTGCTCCTAGTTGCCTATTAGTGCCATTTATGCAAGCCGCGGCTGCATGAAATTTGGGCACCTGCACTCTGCGATGACTCATCACGAACTAAGTTTCAATAACCGGTACTCTTTATGTGCCACCACATAAATATCATATGCACTTGTTACGTTCCAGTATGCCAAATGTCGAATAGCCACTCTTGATGTTAGCAGGTTCGAATGAGCAGCACCTTTTATTGCATGAGAGAAAAGTAACAAGTGACTCCGGCAGAGCCAGATTTCACGGCGTATTACAACGTGTTCTCCGCTCTCTAAGACACTCCGGTGTACGAGCAGCGTCTGATATTTACGTGATGGCGTGTATCAGCTTCTGAAACATCGTTCGTGATAAACGCAATGTCGCTTTAACAGACAAAATCATGTGAGCTGCCTCTGACACTGTAGGTCCCCAAAAACCATGAATCCGTGGTCTGCTTGAATTGCTTCCGAAGGCAGAATGGATCGTTGGAGCGGTGCAATACCCTGTTAAATCTGTTCTTGGAACAATCATTCATCACTTTTCTCTGTAAAGCAAGAATTGATATGATCATTCGAGCCTCATAAAGGCAAAATATTTCGAAGGAGAAGAGACTAATGACCAATCTGATAATCGCAGCATTCACCTGTTCGCGCTGACTTGCTGCCCAATGCAGCAACAGATGAGTTCAGAATCCTGACGCCAATGTGAAATTAGTCTAACAATGCAGCTCGGAGAAAAGAAAAGTAATCATGCTGTTTTGCCTGACTTGGATCATCGATTTTTCTCAGGTAGAAAGGTAAAAATGGAAGCTAATTTACTTAAAGCAGGTATGATCTTGACCTATCGTTCATTATTGGAAACACTTTTGAATGAGCCCATGCTTCACGGTTATAAATTTTGCAGGATATGCCCTACCTACTTCATGATGCTCGGTTTCGCTGCTACGCTGTTTCCGTATCTTGGCAATGGTCCGTTGTGGATTGGCAAAATGCCAGGAGTTTTGACGCCTCATTCATGCCGATATTCCTGGTGGACGAACATTATGTTTCTAAACAATTATTTTGCCGTTCAGCAGCCAGTAATCTTATCATTAACTGCCCATATTTTGATGTTCATTGCGTACGTTGCAGTGCATGGGTTGGTCCTGGTTCATTGCTGTCGAAATGCAGCTGTTTGTTTTCTCGCCAGTTCTTCTCATCCTGTACAGGAGGTAACTTCAAACTTATTCTTACAGATTTTGCGTCTTTAGTCGGCATGTCAATTTTAGTAAACCCAAACTTGCATACACGTTTTCTGCCGTACTTGTTTTCGCGTTTGCCGCTCTTCATGGGTATTATGTGGCTAGCAGAGGATACCCACCAGCGATGGTTGGTACCGAAAACCTGTACCAGTAAGTGTTTAAGAAATTCAAAAGTTATTGTCTATGTTACTTGCCATAGGATGGAGAAATTGGGTGATTATTTTACCCATGTTTTCATCAAACCTTATACGCATGTGCCGTCGTATTTAATTGGCTTGTCATTTGGATACTTCCTCACTACCAATCAATCGACGCGCTTCAATATTAAGAAGGTAATCTGTTTGTTGAAATTGGCGTTTAACTTTGTATATGGTTACATGAACATCATATGCGCTATTGTGTACTGCTGTAAACGACACAACGAGATCCATCAACCCCTTGTTCCCTTGCTTCGTTAACTCAAATACTACCGTCCCAGAATGCACAACCGACCTTTGCAGTTGCCATTACAGCTCAGTTATATGGCCCAAGCGTGCTTCGCTCTATCATGCCATCTTCTCGTTTAGTCATTAGCGTCGACACAAAGATTGCTTCTTCGATAGCTATTGCTGCTAGTTCTATTTATGTGTTGCCTGAGTTATACTTGTGGTCATTCAGAACTTATGGATATTGGAGATGTGGTAGCACAGTGGTGAAAAGTCACAAAATTTGGAGGTAAGGGATTAGAATCGCGAAAGAGTAAAAAATTTGCCTTAAAAGCTAATTCTATTGAGCAAGGAGTTCACTCCCCGTTGCTTCAGTTCAGCTTTCCGGGAACAGGGCAAATCATTGACTTTGAAACAGTTTGGTCGGCGTAGTCTTCTTGTGTGGTCATGCTTGAATGGCCGAGAAGAATGCCAATGTTACCTTATATGAGCGTTGTTTACATGGCTGTAATTCACGTTCATCCACCAGACTGATATCTGACTGTACCGCGTAGCAGTCAGCACAGTGTATTACTAAGATGTTGTTGTTGTACCCTTTGTTGATGAGGAATCCTCAATAGACGTAGTAAACTGCCTATACAATTTAAAGATGCAATTGTTAAAGTGAGCAGACATCCCGAATTATACGCAGCCTGAAGTTTTGTACGAGGGTTGCTCCGTCACTCGAGCGTCTTACTCAGAGCCGAGAAGTCCGGGGGTTCGAGCTCCGCTCGAGTAATTGGCCCCTTCCTTTCTTTCGAGGTTCAGAAATGAAAACTACTCTGGGAGAAGAAAGCAGGTTTTATTGTACAGTATGCATGCCATGTACCTTCTGTCGTTTCTGCTTTTAAAATAGGCAGTTCTAACTGATGACACTGAGATTGAAATTAGCACCCTCACGATTAACTTCTTGAATGGAAGGGCTCCACAAACGATCCCATCTTCGTCTTCCATGGCCGTTTCTCTCGGGTCGCGGAGGCAGACACGTCAGGTAGTGCTTACAACGTTCCTTATCCTGTGCCAGAGTCTGAGCTTCGGCAGAAGGCAACCGGAGTCTGGAACAGACTCTTCCATATATTTGCACCAGGTTAATCTTGGCCT